AAACGGCAAGAAAAGTGATGATCACGTTTTTTCTTGCCGTTTATCACCGTTTCCTAACAGAACGGGTGATTATGACAGTTTAAACGGCATTTTCAGCGTTTCACTTCTTCCTGGGTAAGCTGTATAAGATTAAGCCGTATAAGATTAAGCCATACACATTTAGCCGTACAAGACTAAGCTGTATAGGATTAAGCCGTATAAGATTAAGCTGTATAGGATTAAGCCGTATAAGATTAAGCCATACACATTTAGCCGTACAAGATTAAGCTGTATAGGATTAAGCCGTATAAGATTAAGCTGTATAGGATTAAGCCGTATAAGATTAAGCTGTATAGGATTAAGCCGTATAAGATTAAGCGGTTTAGATTGAGAAGCATGGAAAAGGACTAGCAAAACACCTTAGAAAAGAGTGTACTTTGTTTATGTACGAAAAAGGGTGCATTGAATGAAGAATGTAGAGCACAGTTTTGTGCGAATCTTGTCGAAGTCAATTTCTGGAGATCGAAATTCGTTCTCCCGTAGGTGTGTTGAACTTTTTTCAAAATTATGTCGTACATGCAAGTTGTTCACGAAGGTGTACGAGTTTTTTTTTATCGTCTCCGATCGAAACGATAAACCGGATGGACTCCAAATTTATTAAACCTCTTGAACAAGAACGAAATTTCGAAAAAATGCAGATTTTTACAATTTGCATTTCGTTTAAATTCCGATGCGTGTTGACGAGTTGTATTTATTGTTTGTCTCACTAGATTATAACTAATGATTTGGCATACAAAAAAATGAATTGTTACAGTGTATTACTATAACATGTACCAGAGATGTCCATCGCGGCGCTGCCGCGCCGCTGCCGCGATGGCCTGTAGCGGCAGCGGCAGCGGCAGGTTTTTTAAAAAATCACCGCGGCAGCGGCGCGGTAGCGGTAGATTTTTTAAAAATCATCGCGGCAGCGGCGCGGTAGCGGCAGGTTTTTTAAAAGACCATCGCGGCAGCGGCAGGATTTTTTTGGGGAACATTGAAAAACTGCATGAATTTAATAGAATTTCAGGGTTTACAAATGAAACACCCCGAGACTGAATGAATCTGATGGACTAGTACCGATATCTCTGGTCAAATATAGTCGCAGCAGTGAAATTAGAAACACTTTTTTGTAAACCGCCGCGGCAGCGGCGCGGCGGCGGCACGTTTATTTTATAATTCATCGCGGCAGCGGCGCGGCAACGTTTTTTTTATAAGCCATCGCGGCGCGGCCGCGCCGCGGCAACATTTTTTTATAAACCGTCGCGGCGCGGCTGCGGTGCGGCAACTTTTTTTTTCTAAGGCCGCGGCGCGGCAGCGGCAAATTTTCAGCCGCGGTGGACATCTCTGACATGTACCTCGATCCTTCTATTCTTTTCTTTTCTTCTCTTCGATATCTTCTATGTTATCTTCTATATTATCGTTTACTTCGATTACTTCTTTTCTTTCATCTCGATTAACATTTGTATTTCTTTTCTTCTTTGTTGTCACTATTCATATATATATGTTGTAGGCAAAATTGAGATTCAGGCAAATTTTAAATTTGCCTAGGCAAAATTGAAATTCTAATTTTGCCTAGGCAAAATTAGAATTTTAATTTTGACTAGACATTGCTTAGGCAGAATTGGAATTCTAATTTTGCCTAGGCAAAATTAGAATGTGACTAGAGATAAATTCATACAATCAAAACCAGTGAATGACGTAAATGAATTACAAAGTAATTCAAAAAAAATGAATTACAAAATAATTCACTTTCTATCAGTTTCTACCAGGGTCTACCAGGGTTTACTAAAGTCTTGATGTGGGTGCCGCGAAACAACTTACATCACATCTCACTCGTTGTGGGTGCCGCGGAACGACTTACATCACGTCCCTCTCGTTGTGGGTGCCGCGAAACAACTTACATCACATCTCTGTCGTTGTGGGTACCGCGAAACCCTGGTAGACCCTGGTAGAAACTGATGGAAAGTAAACTATTTCGTAATTCAGTGTTTTTGGATTATTTTGTAATTCATTTACGTCATGGTCTCATCAAAACAATAAAACTGATCGGAATGAAATGTTTTTTGATCCAAAAAACAAATTTTGAAGAAAATAAACCTAATGGTTTGTCCTTGGATGATAGTAAACATTTAATGATATCGTCATAAACACTTTGTTTTATAACACTTTTTTCTTGAAATTTTGTACTTAAAGAATTAATATATTTTTCTAATTCCGTATAGTAAACCAATTCACCATCATTTTGTTGAGCTATCTTTGAATCTGATTCAGCCATTTTTTAATCAGATTATAACGTGTGCATCTATATTTATAGTGCTTAGTGGCAAGATTGACACACAATTTTCTCCTTTTTTACTACTCCATTCTACTTTTGATAACGCACGTCATTGTATGAATTCATCTCTAGTCACATTCTAATTTTGCCTAGGCAAAATTGAAATTCTAATTCTGCCCAAGCAATGTCTAGTCAAAATTAAAATTCTAATTTTGCCTAGGCAAATTTAAAATTTGCCTGAATCTCAATTTTGCCTACAACATATATATATCCTTGCTTTTTTAAAAATAAAGTTAGAGAGCGAAGAACACGGTTAGTGTTCGCACATAAAACGAACGCTATCAGGAATTTTTTTCTCAATCGACAAAATAATCATTTGATAGACTAGTTTTGTTGTTCTTCCTACAAATATGTCTAATATTGATTCAAGATATCTGATAAAGATCGAGGTTTTTTGTTTTTATGATGTCTATCCCAGATAAACGTTTTTTCACGAGATTAAGAAAAAGTCATGCCACCCAATCTTTTTGCATTATTTATATACATCTTGCCTTGGCGTCCGTGTTATACTACAACACAATGTTGATATGCCTTCTCATATACTTGTATTAGCTAGATAGGCTACTGTTTTTTCTCTTTGCCTATGAAGTTTTGGTTATTTAGGATGAGTCTCTTGTTTCGAGTTCTCATTATTGTCACTAAATTTTTCGATTATATATGTCTGCATTTCGATGATAGGATTTATTTTTAGAACTTCTCAACAAATACATACTCTGTCATAACATTTTTTTACGGTGCAATGAATATGGATGAATCAATTTTAAATCACTTGTTTCTTCCACATTATCTACCGTCTTCTGCTGATGATGATTTTTTAATTAAATCCAATCATCAACATGAATACAGGATATTAGAATATATGAAAGAATATTTGAATGTTATCGAATCGGTAAATGATACGAAGAAATTACCAATATTTCAAGTGCTTAACAATTATTGTCTTAAAGATTGGTCTGTGTTACAGAACTCTCAAAACTTTTCCGAATCGAATTTACAATCAATTATTGAGCAATTACAGCCAGGAAGTTTTCTTCCACTATATTTTAATGCTCAAAATGCTGCTATTCTTATTGAAATTGAAGAAAACAACATTGATCAACCATTGGTTTCATCTTGGCAAGTCTTATTACCAACTACAGAAATGACTTCTTCTCTTGTTCCGCATCTTTCTCGCTTTCCAGTAGCAAATTATAGATTAAACGATCGATCTCAGTTGACTTCCCAAGCTCACTGTGAATTGTTAGTAGATTTTATGTATAACACCATTGAATATTCCAAATCGAACAAAGCTTCTCGGGAAGTCGATGAAATACGTGATGTACCGGAATCTCATTATGTATGTCAGTGGTGGATTCAACAGTTTCAAGGAATTAAAATCGAAAACAATTCCAATATATCCATTGAATTCAAGAAAAAACATCGTGATCATGTCAGATGGAATAATGCCAAGTTACCTTTTCGACGTTCAGGTTTATGGCTGACTATCAAAGTAGTCTTTCATATTATTCTAACCAAACGTTTGGGACACATTGGTACCATTGTTTATAAATTGTTGATTACTCGTTTTCTTACATATGTTATTTGCAAAACATATTCTACAATATCCACTGATTTATTAATTCATTGCATTCGAAAAATCGTACGAAGATTGAATAAAATCGAAAATTTTCTATTCTCTTTAAATTTAAATGATGCAAACGAATGGGTACAATATACGAAACAAGAAATATATATGAAAATTAATCAAATTCTTCCAAAATCAGATTGGCAAAAATTCATTCAAAATAATGAAAAACCAAATCATAAAGTGTTGATGACCAACTTCGATTTGAATGATGCTAATATTTGTCAACATGTGTGTCAAGAATTAAAAGCTTATATGAGTAATCAGAACCTGAGCGAAATGTTTGAATTTTCTTCAGGTGTTAACAATTATGACGATTACAGTGACATTAATCAAGATGATTACATACCGTCGATTAAAGAATTAACAGAACAATTCAATTATACTATTGGAATAGCCTTGACTCGTATAGAAATTTGGGTTGAATCACGTTTAAACCAATGGATTAATCGTCCAACAGGATCTCAGTATGAGAGAAATCGCTTTGAAATTTTATTAAACTTCTTCGAAGAATATCAGAATGAAGCATTGAATCATTATTGGTCAGAAAAGGGTACAACAGATCCGATCGGTTATACTCGATTTACTCTAACATCATTAACGATTATTCGCTCAATGCATCAAAAATTATGTAATGATCCAAAATTTGAACGATTAAAACTACATTCTATTGATATTCCAAATCTTATCAAGCTGTTCGAATTTTTGATTTTACCGAATCGAGAAGATATGATTCGTGTTCGTGATCTCAGGGATTATTTTAATGACTTTAGCCATAAAACATACCCTGATCTTTTAACAAATATAGATTATGTTGATGCATTCGGTGTATATTATGCCTCTCAGTCATCGACAATGAACGAAAGTATACAGATAATTAGAGCTCAGGCTGAATGGGATAAACAAAAGAAAATACAGGAAGTCACAGATGCGAAAGAAAGATACACAAGTCTTATGAATTCAATAAGAGGTCTTTCTTGCTCATGTGATTATGGCAACCGTTATTATCGGAAATGTAACAGATGTGTCACTAAGGAACACGCTGAAAGCATTCGAGTAAGCATCTACGAATGTCCATTACCATCCAAACATGAGAGTGCATTGGCTGTTATTTTTGAATTACAAATGCCCATTGAAATTCGAAGCTATCGTGATGTCATCTGGCAATTTCTGAATCGACCAAAACCGCACCCGGAGCATCATATGTATGAATGGTTGAGTGTTCCTCCTCATAAAGACAAGTTAGGACCGTTCTATATCAATTCAAATCACTGTAAAGTAAAATTAGTGTCCTCCACAAAGTCTGTAACACAAAGCCATTATTCCTATCCACCATTCATTGGTTCTGCATCTATCGAATCCTTTTTGTACGAAAATAGTTTGGAAGTTCAAATCTCACCACCAAAAGCAATTGAATTCGATGATGAATGTCACATACTAACACCCCAATTTGGTCATCCAGGTTACAAGCCGTTACAATTCACAATAAACACCACAGAATTTGTTCAAAATCATGTGATTGCTAAATTATCTGATTGTTCAGTACGAATGAAACCTACTCAGTTTCTAGAATTCGGTTCATTTAGATCAGGTCATCGTTTACAATGGTGGAATCTCTTGGCATTATTTGAAATGGACTCATTGCCGATTGCTGAAGAGAGTGTAACAATGCTAATTATGCATTCAATATTACAATATGGTCCACGAACAATGGATGGAAGTTCAATCTATAATTCTTGGTGTTCGGAAGCCCATGAGCAATTATTCGAAGATCATTTTATTGATGAATTAGTTACGAGATTAGATCGTCGTTTAGACGATTGTGAATTAAATTGGCAAAATGAATTGGTATTAGTAATCGTTACGATAATTACTATGAGAATTTTAACGATTTGTAATTCAACAAGACAAAATAAGATCGTTGATTTGGCAATAAAATGTCGTAGAATCGGTGAAAAATGGATTGATCTCATTTCGAAGAATATTCAAACGATATCTTCTTCAGCTTTCAATGAAATAGAAATACTTCGTCTGAAACTTGTTATTGTTGGTATTTCATGCATCTTAACATTTTCAACTAATTCAGATCGAATACATTATTTATTATCATCGAATGAACATATTGTATCTTTACTAAAATCTGCAACTACAATTCATGATAATATTATTTTAAACAAGAATCAATCTAATATGAGTACATTTGTAAGAAATATTATGAGATATAGCGAACGTATCTTAGTAATGATACAGCCAACAATTGCTAAATTTCTTCAAGAAACTTCCTATCAAAGTTTCAATGATTTTGCTGCGATCTATTGGGCTGTCATTAGAAGCAAAGGTACTATGAATGGCGAATGGAAAAAACGTAAACAAGATTCTTATGATGGTTGGTATGATTGTCTATATGAATCAAGAATTATATCAATTGATTGTATCCGAGGAACATTTTTAGTCGATGGAATGACTATAGGTTTTTTACCTGAAAAAATAACAAAGAATGAACTATTTGTACGTGTATTTGACGATCATATTTTTGAAGTTCAATTGGCTGAATCACCTAAAACTTATATTAGTAAACATTCGTATCATGGCAATGGACGAGTTCAATATGAATTTTATTTCAATGATCAAATTAAACATTTGACAATTACTGAACGACATCTACAGACAAATGAGTTATTTCAATTGATTACTTACAATTGTTTTCAGACTGAACTACCAGATACTTTTGTCTCCAAACACAGCCATTGGATGAACATACAAAAGGAGATAGTCGAATTTCGACCTATTTGTTTTAAGGAACCTGATTTTTTAGATAACAAACCATACATGCTATCATTGGAAACAGGATGCGTTACTTCTACCATAGAAAACAATACGCAAACTTTAGTTAATCAATCATCAACATTCTTTCAAAATTTATTCAACCGATACTTTAATCGTCTGGATGATAAGCCCTATGTTTACATGATGCGTGACAATATTTCGGAGCCCGATATAATTATTCACATCCATTTATCTCGTTTAGGAATTGCTTTTGAATACAATGCTACAACCAATATTATAAAATCTCGCGAATATTCAGATATGTGCATCGATGAAGATCAATGGTTAGGAACATTAACAGGTTTGACGTCTGGTCTTCTCTTATCACCATTGCCAGCCAATAATTACCGATTAGATCATTATCCATACCGAAAATTGATTGTACCTTTTGGCACGATTCAAAGTGAAAGAAATCCGTCCACGAATCATCAAACTGTTACTATAGATCGATCATCATCAATATCGTTTCCTCAAAAATATTTTGTTTTCATTCTCAATGATCGATTAAAGATACTTCAATCAACAGATAGTCCTACTGGATGGCTTTATTTAGCATTGTTACATGCAATGACTTCTCATCCTTTACCAGATCAATATACTAGAATGACTGGAATGGAACGAGCTTTTCAATTACTAAATTCAGCTGGTTGTTGGTCGGATCAACCATTTGATGCAGTTTCTTTAAATATTCTTGGTCAAATTGCATCCATTTCACCGAAGGTTAATTATTACCCAGAGCACCTGACTTGTATGGAAAAAATAGACTGGAATTCAAATGGTTTACCCTATTCGATGCAACATTTTGGTTATTATTTAATAGCAAAAAAACTAATCGACAGTAGTCAACTATTCAATTTTATGTATCCATCACTGATGTCAAATGAGACGCCGAAACTATTTGAAGGAAAAATATACAATGAAATGTTATTGAAAAAACTATATTGCGATTATCGAGATTCATATAATCCAACAGCTAGATTATCTACAGAGTTGGAGGCTGACATATTGGATACTGGCTCACCGACATTATATCATCCGGCTTCGGAATATTGTTCGCATATCACTAGCTACAGTGCTGTTCGTCTTGTAGATGATCTATATAACAATGGAGATGTAGATCTTAGAGACTTTTCGAAACAACATTGGTTACCATTGTCTCAATGGCTGGCTGTTGAAAATAATTTGAAAAATGTTTGGATTGGTTTATTAAAAATGGCTGACCATCTTAAAACAGAAGCAGCTGGCAATAATACAGATGACATTGAACAATTCGAATGCTTGCTAGATTTTCTCCATTATATTTCTGACAAATGCAAAATCAAACCATTTTATCTGCAAATGTTAAAGGCAGTATTGAATGTGCCTACCGTATTCCTAATATCTGTTACATTTCCTCCATTTATTTTTTATCAAAATATCGAAGAAACTTGCCTTGTAAAAGAGCATATCCAACTTGGTCGATGCCTTACTTCCAGAGAAAAGAATAAAATTCTAGAAGAAGTTGAAACATGTTGGTGGAGAAATCAAGAATATACAGATGTTAATGAATTAGCAACTTTTAGTGAAAAAACTGAGATCAACAAATTATTGAAATCGTGGCGATCGAACCAAATACTTCGATCCTTTTTAGAAGTCGTTCAACGTCTCATTTCTTCCGTCCCAATAGAACAGTTTAATACCAAAGCATCATATAATCCTCAGCAGTTTGCACGTGAACTATCCAAAGATCACTATCAAATACAAATCAAACTTACAGACAAATCGATCAATCCAACATTTTTACAAAATGCAGAACAAAAATTTCATCATTTCAATTCAGGTCATTTTAATAAATCAACTAAATCTGTTCAAACAACTGATCGGCAAAATGCTTTTCCACAAGAAATTTTTCCTTCTATCACCAATCAACACAATCCTCTAAATGAAATTGCCAATTATTTTAAAAATCAATTATTTGAAAGTTGGAACAAACTTCTTGCGGACAGAGAATACGAAAAAGAAGATCCTTCAATTAAAGAAATCATTCAACTTCTCGATTCTTTTCGAGAAGAATCTATAATGTTCTGGAATGAACTTTTCAATTCTATTACATTATCCAATGAACAATTATTTGACACAGGCCTACTTTTAAGAATCACACCAACAACTCTCATCCCTCTACTTCAAGAAAAAAATCTTTATCTAGAAAAATCATTATCATTTCTATTGACTAAAGATCAATGTACAATACTCGGTGGTATTATTGTCAATTGGACATTAGAACAACAAATGGAAAGAACTTTACATTTTGCCATTCATGAAAAATGGGAAGATTTTAAAAAAGAAATATCCCATATACCACATTCAAATTGGAAACCATCTGAACATATTTCTTGGCTTATCTTGGAATTAGAAATGAATATAACTATTCGAGAAATTCAAATAAAAGTAGCACAACATATGATAGAACCAAATATAAAAACAGATGATTCAACAGTAAGAAATATAGTCATGCAAATGAATATGGGTGAAGGAAAAACCTCAGTCATTTTACCAATGTTAGCTGTTTATTTATCTTCATCAAATTCTAGTTTAGTTCGTATTATCGTACTTAAATCATTATTTCCAACAAATTATCAATCATTACGATATAAATTAGGTGGTTTACTTAATCGACGTATTTTTCCATTTGCATGCCGTCGTGATATGAATTTTAATAATCAACAAATCAAACAGATTTTCGAACGTTTTGAACAAGGATTACGTAATTATGATATTATATTAACTTCACCAGAAGATATTCTTTCGTTTGATTTACTAACTATTGATAAATGTCGACGAAATGAATTCGATGTTGGTTGTTCTATGTTAACAGTTCAACGATGGTTAAAAAAATATGTTCGTGATGTATTAGATGAATCTGATGAAATTTTACATGTTAAATATCAACTAATCTACACTGTCGGTGGTCAACAACAAGTTGATGGAGGTGCAGAACGTTGGAAAACTATTCAAATAATTCTTAAACTAGTCAAAAAACATGCTGAAGATATTTCAAAATGTTTCAACGAAAATGTTTGTTATAAACCATCTGAACGAAAAAGTGCTTTTCCACAATTTCGTTTACAATCACATGAACCATTTCCATTACTCTGTGAAAAAATTGCAAATGATTGGATTGATAGTAGAAATTATCGTTATACAGATAAACCAATTATTTTATCATTTATTTTAGAAACAAATTCATCAATTGAATATGTCGTTAATAAATTTTCACGTCTTGATATTGAATTATTTCTTATTGTTCGTGGTTTATTATCATCAGAAGTTTTATTAGTTGCTTTTAAAAAACGATATCGAGTTAATTATGGTGTTAATCCAAAGCCTTCTTTTAATCGTTTAATGGCTGTACCATTTCGTGCAAAGGATGTTGTAGCTGATAGAACTGAATTTGGTCATCCAGATGTTGCCTTGGTATTAACACAACTCTCATATTACTATTCAGGTTTAAATGATGAACAATTATCTCAATGTTTTAATCGTTTAAATGAAGAAGAGACTGATCCAACATCAATTTATGATCAATGGATTTTATATGAAAATGAAAATAACATACCAACAAGTATTAAACAATGGAATGGAGTTAATTTAGAAGATTATCAACAACGAATTAATTTTCTCTTTCCTATTTTTCGATATAATATGTTAGTTATTAATTATTTTCTTGATTATTTTGTATTTCCTCGAGAAGCCAAACAGTTTCCATATAAATTAGTTTCTTCTGCTTGGGATTTATCTTCATCTTTACGATCAAAAATTATCACTGGATTTAGTGGAACTAATGATACACAATTATTACTTCCTGTTCATATTCGTCAATATGATTTACCAGAACTTCAAAAAACAGATGCAATTGTTGTTAATAATTTATTACAACCGGAAAATGAAAATTATCAATTTTTACTAATCAATGAGACATCAGAAAATATTTTAAATCAAATTGTAAACTACAAAGAAACTATTAACGTTATTTTAGATGTTGGAGCATTATTCATTGATGGAACCAATCGAGATATTGCTATTAAATGGTTGAATCTATCCGATAAAAATAAGATTGATTATGTTGTTTATTTTGATTCAGATTCAATTGTTGTTTATGATCGTCAATATCATGATTATCCATTTGTAACATCTCCAGCAAGTGAACGATTAGATCGTTGTATATTTTATTTAGATGAAATTCATACTCGAGGAACTGATTTAAAATTTCCTAGAGGATTTAAAGCTGCTGTAACATTAGGAAATGGTTTAACAAAAGATCGTTTTGTTCAAGCATGTATGAGAATGAGAAAATTAGGTCATGGTCATTCATTAACATTTTGGAGTTCATATGAAGTTCATCAACAAATTCAAACATTAAAAATAAAGGTTCTTATTCAAAATCAAGAAGAAAATAATAATTTCATTAATTTGATTGATATTCTTCGTTGGGTCTATGAAAATACTCAACAATCAACTTGGGATGGTTTACATCATTGGTCTACACAAAGTTTAAGTTTTCAAAGAAAATTTTTTGCATTTCGATATATTGATTGGAATGATGATCAACAAAAATTTACGGACGTATTAATGGAAGATTTAGCTAAAGAATGTTCAGAACCTGAAATAATTGAACTTATAAGTATGTATGGTGCTTCAAAAAAACTACAAACATTATTCGAGATTCATCATAATCGATATGAGCAGATTCATCATCATTTATCGAAAGAAATTAAAGATGCAGTATTAAAACGATTACAAGATTATGGTGGAACAAAGCAACGTTTATCACAATTGTTAGATGAAGAACAACAAAGAGAATTAGAACAAGAATTAGAAGAAGAACGTCAACAAGAACGTCCTCCACCTGTCATTCCATGTAAACCTATACTACATGAAGAAATACAGAGATTGTGTGATATGCATAGTGCTATGATGAATTTAAAACAATTTCCTAATGTATTTCATCATTTACCACATGCTTTCACTGACACAACATTTGTCAATGATTGTCAAGCTAACAATTGGCAAAAAAAATTTTGGATTTCAACTGAGTTTCAACGTGTAATTGCGACCAAAGGAGAATCATTAAATCCATTTTTACGTCCTCCACGATGGATCGTTATCTACCGTAACCAACAATTAATTTTTGTTAGTGCTTTTGAAGCCAATTGGTTGATAGGTCGTTTAAACTTTCTTTATCACAAACGACAATCCAATAATCTATTGATCACGACATTACGTTTATTATTACCTCGTATCAAACGAGTGCAATCAATTTTTGTTAATACGCCAAGTCTTACAATTCCTCCATCAATTGGACATCCCAATGATGCTGTTCCTTTCTTCATACCACTCGAATGGTTGGTTCAATTATTTATTTTTAATGGCTCTATTTACTTTGAAACAGTTGATGAGCAAACAGCTTATTGTCAATGTTTAAGTTTATGTCCAAAACCGCGAACGATGGAGGAAGAAGAAGCATTTAAAAACGGTTGGATTGCTGTAGATGGATTTGTTAGTAATACTAAACATCGCCATGATTTAAAAATGCATAAAGTTCGATTTGGTGACAATCTACTAACATTTGTCAAACAAATAATTGAAAATCGAAATAATTCACATGCATCTATGACATCACATGTTGGGAGTATTATTCTCAATTCATTCAAACTTATTTAATCCTGAAAACATTGAACTTACTATAAAAATATTTAATTCAGAGACAAGCACTTTTTTAATCATGATTTTAATTAAATTTTACTAAGGGTGTGAATATGGGCCTTGCTTTCTTCCAGATTCACACCCATTGAAACCTTGCCATAGATTCTTTGTGTGACCGAGCTTTACAATAAAATACATTATATCAATCTAATCTACACATTTAATTTTTATGTTATTTAAATTCAAAAAGAAAAGCGACGACAAATATTTTAAGAAAAGCCTCTAAATTTAACTTTTTACTTTCACTATAGATTTTCTTTGATATTTGTCTACTAATTGAACAAAAAACTATATTAGTTTTGAATGAGTTATAATTTTATTCACAGTCTCAATCTACTTTAGCATCAAAAAATATATATTTCCAATAAAAAAACTAACGAGGGAACCTTGCCAGGTGATAAATCGCTTTTGAGATGAGTCTTACCTCATTAGGTAGGACCTATTGAGACTGGAAAAAACCTAAACTGCTTCGTGCCCATGGGTCTTTCTTCTTGAGATATGGTAATTTTACTGACGTGAGTATTTTAAACAAAATGTCGTGGACTTCCTCAAGTCACCTTGAAAATCGACTTTCGAATTTCGAGTTCAAACTTTGCGCACATCAATTTCTCAATGAGACTAGTTCATTGTGAACGTTTCAAATTTTGTAGCATCGCCTATCGTCAGATATGAATATTGAAAATTCTATTATGCGAAAAAGCACACTTTGTTCTTATACTCATATATCAGGATAGGCAATGCTAGAAAATCTGAAACGTTCACAATTAACTAATCCCATTGAGAACTTGATGTGTGCAAAATTTGAACTCGAAATTCGAAAGTCGATTTTCAAGGTGATTTGAGGGAGAGGGTGGGTGTGGGTGTGGGCGTGGGTGGGTGTGGGTGGGTGTGGGTGTGGGTGTGGGCGTGGGTGTGGGTGTGGGTGTGGGCCTGGGTGTGGGTGTGGGTGTGGGCCTGGGTGTGGGTATGGGTGTGGGTGTGGGCCTGGGTGTGGGTGTGGGTATGGGTGTGGGTGTGGGTGTGGGTATGGGTGTGGGTGTGGGTATGTGTGTGGGTGTGGGCGTGGGTGTGGGTATGGGTGTGGGTGTGGGTGTGGGTGTGGATGTGGGCGTGGGTGTGGGTATGGGCAGGGCCCGCGCGAAGGATCAAATATTAGGGGGGTGTAAGGAAGAATTTTCAGAAAAATCTTGCAGAAAAATTATAAAATTAGACAAAATCTGCATTTGTGGACGGAAAAAACTGAAATTTTTTGGCTTTTGGGGGGGTGTGCACCCCTAAACCCCCGCTCGCGCGGGGCCTGGGTATGGGTGTGGGCAAGAATGAAGGGGAGATTAAGACTTACGCCCACACCCACCCATATCCACCCACACTCCCCACCCACCCACACTCATACCCACATCCACATCCACACTCACACCCACACTCACACCCACACCCACACCCACACACACCCATACCAACACACCCACACACCCTATCGTTTACTCTAGACTGTCCGAATATGTATATTTTCTAAATCTCTGCATGCCAATAGTAACCAACAATTAGCATTATCAGTAAAACTCATAGGTTTCAAAGTTATTGACAAAATTTTCTAATATTTGTAGCAGTACAAAATTTTTAAAAATATTCCAAAAAAAATATGCAGTATTCAAAACATAGAATAATTTACTTGATTAAATAGAAAAAGGCAATACATTTCAATTATGAGTCACAGAACACGAAACGCGTACGAAATAGCACTTAATGGCAATTTAGTCATAACTGTCACATAACTAGCGACTTTTAAGACTCGACAGGACCGAATCTATTTGGCTTTATGTTGTTTTTCAATTAAATTTATGACACTGTTCAGTATTGATATTCATATTTAAAGCATTAGAACTAACACAAAGTGAACTTGTAAAAGAATTTCTGATTCTAACTTAGCTACAAATTAGTTTTAGAAATTTGAAAAGGTTTTATAATTCTGAGCTTTAAACTACATTCCACATTTTCCAAAGTTTATGTATCTTAGAGTGCAGAACTTGTTCTATATATTAGAGAGAACATTAAACCTCTAGCATTTTTCATTTAGGCTCAATAGGTATCGACATTTGCATATATACTTTTGCATCCTAGGTTTATTAGAAAATGAATAATACGAAGAAACAGCAGACGAAAAACGAGGTTAGACCAAAAAAAAAAAGAAGTTACGAATAAAAACAAACAGTTTTCTAAAACAAAGATAATGGGTGATGTACATATGATCAGAGTTTGCAAACTTCTTTATCGTATTTGATAGAGATGTCTGATGTTGAATGACGGCGACTGCGGTTACCTGGCCGCTCTTCTCTAAAAATTATACGACACGCGTGATTTTGAAAATATTTATATCATATTATATCATTATTTATATGCAGCGGAGTTTATTTTCTGTGAAAAAAAAACATCGAAAACAATATGCATGTACGTTGTTATATCTGATTTTTGTAGTCTTTTTGCGTTGTGTTGTTTTTTCGTTATACTACGTGTATGATAGTGCACATTTCTTATTTATTCTGTTCTTTATCGTATTATTAAATGGGATATAGAATAATATTTACTCGTGTTAAGTTTTTGTGTGCTCTAAATCTTTTGAAGGTCGAAATAGTGTAGAAATTTATTGACGACATAAGTGCACGCAATCCACTTTTTTCACCTACTAACATGAATAGACGTTCGTTGAGTGATCAATTTTTGTTTCGCTCATCATCTAGCAACAAAGGTATTCATAGGAAATCACCTAATTCATATGATCGTTGGACTTTCATTTGCTTTGTGATTGGTTTGATGAACATTCTCAATGCACTGTGGATGTTAATTGCACCTGAACATTGGTATTACAATTTGCCAGTTGGTATTCCTGAATCAGGTCCACTGAATGTTCATTTTATTCGGGATATTGGTTGTATTTTTCTTCTGCTCGGTTGTGGTCTACTAGTGGGTGGTTTCTTTCTAATTGAATATCGTCTACCATTATTTACAATGAATACTGTGTTTTACGTGCTTCATATGTTCGTTCACATTCATGAAATTGTCAGTGGACGTCTAAGAATGGGAATATTTTGGACTGATCTACCTAGTATCTATTTTCCGGCTGTGCTAACATTCGCATTCAATATTATTTTGATAAGAAAATATATGGCGTCGCCAAGGTCAAAAATGCTACAGATCAGAGAAAAAAATTAAGTTGATACTGTCTTCATTTGAAAACATATATTAATTGACTTGTATAACATGCTTTGCTTATTTCAAAATAAAGTTTCATCAAAGATAACGAGTTGCTGATAATTCTCTAATGTTTTCCGATTATCATTCATCACGCAAGAATTCATGCGTGATTAGCATGACATCCAATATTTTTTTTTAAAAAAGAATCATGACGATTATTTGTTGTCATCATGATGTCAGAAATAGAGACCTGCATGACCATGCTTTTTAGTCACAGTCACGAACATAGCTATGAGAAATATATGGATTCTCAAACAGTTCCAACCGCTGGCAATACAGGATGTCTTGACAGCTAACAAAATCTATTTGTGATCACCAAAATTACCGACTCCTTTTGGAACTATACTAGTTTTTGAGAGGTCAATAAATTTTATCATAGTGATTTGTAATCTGTGTCGATAGGCTGATTTCTAACAATAATAAATCCCTGATGATCGAGTATACAACCAAGTCTTTCTTACTTTCCTAAATTATAGTTTCCAAACAATTAACACGTATTGAACTAGGGTGTGGGTGTGTGGGTGTGGGTGTGGCATTTGTGAGAACAAAGCCTACACTCCACATCCACCCTACAGCTATACTCACACCCGCTGGTGTTGTTGTTATTGATTATGAAGATGTGGTGATATTGCGGACTAAAAGGAAAAAAAGGAAAATTAATTAAACATAAGTGTATTGAAAAGAAAAAAATAACTTACTTTCAGTGTTATTTGTTTTGTTGACTGTTCAATACCTGAATTGAAGAAAAATAACACATATTGAAAACAAAAATTCTTACTTACTTAAAATAAATTTTCGAACTAAAGCAAAAGACAATAAAAAATAAAAAAAGGTCTAGGTGAGGATGTCGGCGACTACTTCAACTAAACTAACACCCACCCAACCTTTCAAACATAACATTGGCAGAAAGTATAGAAGACAAACAATAAAAATGATTGACAACATTGAATCTTGTCTTTTCAATCTCACGACGTATAAAAATATCATGAGGTAATTTGGAGATTGTTATGTTTGAAATCATATCTTTGCATCATAGTTTGTGAAGATTTAAAAAGTGGAAGAGAAAACTTCTTAGGCCTCCTATCCGATGGGCTCTTTTCCACAGTAACGCATAAAAAATCTGCAGTGGCGTTATTTGTCGAGAAATAACAACAAAAAGAATGTGTAGTTTTTTCTAAATTGTATTCGGAAGCTGAAAAAAATCGTTGAATTCTATAACTCACTGAAGTATGCAGCAGGAAAAATACAGAAATGAGTTTAATTTTTCACTAACGATAAGCTGTGATATATACCATGCGAACCATCTTCTGAAACCAAACTTACAGGTATGCTGCTGAAAATTTATTAGTTAACAATGAAAAATATTATCAACAATGAGTTTGCTACACCTCATGTGACTATCAGAATGCTATGTAATAAGATTAAATAAATGTAGATACTTTTCCATTCGTGAATGTTCTCAAGAATAGCGACTACATTATTATCCGAAACTTCCAATAGACAAAAGAATTTGAGTCAATCTTTGTTTACATTTCGTTTACTTAAAGATGAAATTTTGTCGAATAAATGTTGATAAGCGATTTATTCCTCCAAAAAAAAGGCATATAACTGTAAACATCAAAGTCAGGATGGGTTAGACCATTAAGAACATAATGCTTCTAACACTGGTAGATGTCTTTTTTATGCTATTAGACATCCTGTGGAAAGGATGGGTAGTGACACGCGAAAAGAATTTATTATTGTATCTTCATAAATTGTTCACTGCTTCGATCTTAGGCCTTATCATACAGTCTTCTACATAATGAAGATCATCATTGTTCAATGAAAGTATGTCTGTTGGAGAACATGGATCACAAATGTGTCAGCAAAAAATACTTGATCAATTACTTTAGAAAAGCCAATATAAAACAGAAGAATTTGAGTAATGTTTTAATGAGTTCAGCTTTAGAATGTTCTCAATGATAATTGAACAATGTATATCATATTATTTTCTGCTCAATTTATACATGAAAAGAAAACACCTATAGTGTCAACCTACGACTCGTCAAAATTTGATGCTTGTTAATTTCCAATCTTGCAGTTTTTTGGATTTGTTTCATATAAAAAATAGCCATACTTGCAGTACTTTTCATACGCCTACATTACGCATTCCTGAAATTCCTCCATATTTACAGATTCAGAATTTTGGAAATCCGTTGATTTCCCTTTGAAAAGATGTGGATATGAATGCTTATTCTGTTTATACACAGCCACATCCTACTACCAATAAAAAAAAACGTGTCCTTTAATAGAAATTTTGAAACTGAATGATTTAGTTGTTCTAGATTAAAAAATAAAATAAAAACAGTTAATGAAATTTAGATCGACGTGGATTGTGTCTTCATTCGCATGTACACGTCGATTCCTATAACTTTGAGAGACAAAAAAAAAAAAGTAGAATCTTCTTTTCAAAACATCGGTTGAAACTTGAAGGCAAGAATAATCTCCAGCAAAGAAAATTGCTGCATGTTAGTCGTAACCAACGCTGAAGACGAAAATTTTTGATCACGATCAATGCACAACATTTTTCTTTACTGGATATTATTCCATCTTCACATAATCTCCTTGCTGATTTTGAAAACTGTCTACGTAGCATCCTTTTTTTGTAAACTCAACGATTCTGCACGCCATCTGCCTGTCTCTAGTGCTGAATAACGCCTTTAGACACACTTTTAGTATTTATAAGTACAAAACACATTTCTATTGAATGTATTACACAGACTATATTTTAATTATAAGAATCTGGATTAATGAAAAGTCTTTCATATTGTACGCTGTCTCATTTCATGTTGAACTAATCTAGCGCCATCTATTAATGGAAAGAACAGAAATGTCAATGGTGTTTTGAGATATTCAATCGAAGTTTTAGGCTTTTTCAGTCGGTCATTCATTCGTTACTATTATCAAATAGTGTTTAAACTTAGTCATTTATTTATTTGGCTTTAAAATAAATGAATTGAATATAAATTAAACAAAATGGATAAACTAAGTAAATCACTTGAAGTTTTAAAATTACTTTCAACAACAACATCAGAAACATTAGTAGCAAATAATGAAAAGTATAAAATAAATTTCTATCCTTTTTTTTTCCTTCTTCAAGTAATATTTTATCTATTGTTTTCTTTGTTTTTTTTGTATTTCTCATAGATCTCGATTAGATCCAATATCAATAAGTAAAGAAAAAATTCATCATCTAAATAATATAACGGATTTACTTTGTTCACCATCATTAATTAAGTAAATAAATCGATTTTTTTCTTTCTGTTTTTTATTTTGTTTTTATCTCTTATCGAACGTTTTTTTTTTTTCTTTTGTTTTTCTCATCTAGAGGTAACAATGATAATTATTTTAAATTAGTTACAGCTAGTGTGGAAATATTATTTACAACATGTGATGAAAATGATTGTGATGTACGATTAGCTGCTGAAGAAAATCTTAATAAACTTGTTAAAGTATTAAAATAGAAATTTTTTTATATAATTTTCTCTTTTTTTTTTATATTACAAAATAGAATTTAAAAGAAGCAAATTTAACAAGAATTCAAGTTGAATTACATCGAATTATAAAACGTAATCCAAATGTTGGACCAAGAGCTTTAAAAGGTTATTATTTTTTTTTTGTTATTTGACTTAAATTTATAATAAATTTTTCTGATTTTTTTTTTGTTAAATTTCAAACAGGTGCTCTATGGCGATTTGCTGAATTAGCAAATGTAATACATCCAAAAAAGATTCGACCATTTTTTGAACATTTATCAGCAGCATTTTGCTCAATTGCTGTTCGTTCAGAAGATATTGTTCATGAAAAATTATCAGAATATTATGAACTTATTTTTCGTATTATTGGTCGATCGATTAATGATAAAGAAATAAAAGTAAGTAAAAAAAACAAAAAAAACGAAATCTTTGTCATCTAAAAATGAAGTAATGAGAGAAATTTCATGCGATTGAAGAGAAACATAGAAAGGTCCATAAATCATTTCACTGAATAGAAGATGTTTTCAGTCTTTCTCGATTAATTTCTACAGAGGATCATTCAATTTAGTCGACAACTTCTGAGTCCGTATTTCGGTTAAAACTTCATATAGGAGAGAATATTTTTCAGATAATAATTAAGTAATCAAGCATGTTATGGACTGTATTTTCTTAGATTTTGTAATACATATTTTAATTTATTACAATAGATCTTCATTTATATATAGTTTCTTTGTTAACAAAGTATTAAAATAGAGTTTATCAGAATTATAAAAATTTCAATAACAATTATTAATTTATTCTTAGGAACTTCTCATGGCCTATTTAGCAAATATGTCTCATGAATCTGCACTTATTCGTCGTTCATCAGCTGCTTGTCTTATTATTTTCACTCGTTATTCTCGTTATCCTATGATTATAGCACGTTTTCTAATGGCAAATGCAATTGGTAAGTTTTTATTTTTTTAAATAATAATTTTTATTTTTATTTTAAATAGATCAATTACTTGAACATCATAATCAAAATGATAGTACACGTTTAATAATTGGTTATCTTGGTTTAATAAAAAATATTATTCAATTACTTGGTTTAAATATTGAAGAATTTCAATCATCATCAAACAATAGTCAACAACCTATAAATACAAATAAAAATATTGATATAAATGAACAACATCTTCCAATTAATATTCGACAAATACTTGAAGTATAAAAAGTTGAAATAAATAATTTTATTTTCAATGTGAATTTTGTTTTTTTTTTAGTGTGTTGATATAGTATGTTATATTTGTTTACAACATAATGATCATAATGTTGTATCAAGTTCATTGGAAACACTTGAAATTATACTTAAATATTCAAATTTATTTGATTTTGATCAATTATTAATTTCAACTCAAACTGGATCTATAGAAGAAACTCGTGTTAGTCAAGCATTAAAAACAAGTAAATATTGAGAAAATAAAAAAAAAACAAAGTTGTTTTTTTTTCTTTTTGATATTTGTATTTATTTTAAAAAATAGTTTATCCAACATATCAACGTTCATTTATTGAAATAAATGAACAACAAGATATTTTAGTCAATAAAATGAATGATGAATTAGATTCAACATCAATGATTAATAATGAAAAACGAACATCAGCTGCTAAACTTGTTGAACAACTTATTTCAAAGTATGTTATAGAAAAATAATAACAATTATATTTTGTTTTCGATTAGATATATACTCAATATGGATGGTACAATAAAAAGTGATGATGAATCACGTGTTAGTATTAAATGTGCTACACTAACATGTCTATCATATTTATCAACAATTGATCCATTTGCATTTTTTGATTCATTTGATTATCCTACTGAAAGTATGTTTAATTCTTGTTTGAGATTTTTTTTTGTTTTTTGTAAAGTTTCAATTCAGTAAAATAGATTTATTTTATAATCCGAAATTATTTTCCGTGGCTATGACGAACACCTGTAAACTAGTGGCATAATGAGGATTGTAACAGTAGAAAGGCTCAGGTAAATGAGATCAATCTGGTGAAGGGGCTTGTGGCAGACTTTAGTTGACATAGCTTCAATTGGTTAAGGTCTCAAAGCTTCAGTGAAAGACTCACGAGTGTATCTCCTTTGATGTTTCCTTATCAATAGAGTTCACTAGTTCTTAAAAGTCTCCGAAATCATTATATCATCTGATAGATATGAAAATTTTACTATTAAATATACTCAAACCCCAGCTTAACTGAGCTCACGTTTGTATTATATATATTTAGTATAAAACAAGTGTTCATTTTTTTCGTCATGATATGAAATCAATTAAATCCTCTAAGGAATTGCGCTTTAATCTTTGAAGATTTCTGATAAAATATAATTTTGTAATTGATATAGAATTCCCTATCTACATGACGTAATACATTAAAATGTATTAAACATTGATATATCTTTTCTTTAAGTTATTACATATCTTTTATCTTTACGTGAACATGGTGATCCACATTTACGTGGTGCATGTGCAAATTTACTTGCTAAATTAATTCAAACAACAGTACATCTTTTAACAATATCTCCGCCAATATCATCATTATCAAATTCATTTAATAATTCATTTATTAATCAATGTTCACTTGTATCAATCGATTCACAAGAAAGTTCAAGATTAGGTTAAACAAATTAGACTTTTTTTTTTTTTGTGATAATCAAATTTTTTTTTTTTTTTAAGATATTCAATTAGGTATATTAGCTGAATTACTTTCTACATTTCGATTATGTCTTAATGATACAAATGCACGTGTTATACATGTTTCATTAAATGCTTTACGAACATTATTACCAGTTTTATTAATTAATAGTCATGCATTAACAATCATTGGAATTGAATTATTAGAAGATTCTATTCAACATAGTACAAGTTCTTATGTTCTTGCTAAAGTAAATAAAGAAAATTGATGATTATAATAAAAAATTTCTTTTTTTTTTTTGTATATAAAATAGGTTGCTCTAGCTCAACTTATTGGTGAAATTGATTTTCGAATATTAACTTATCTTGAACAACAACAACAATTAAAAAAAACTGTAAACTTTTTAAATAAATTACATAGAAGAAAAACAAATACTGTTTTAATTTTTTTATTTTACTTTCATTTAGAATCGATCATGGCTTGATCGTTGTATTGATATTATTTTACAATTTCTTACTGATGATGATACACGTGTTCGTCAAGTAGCTGCTTCAACTTTTGCTAAGTATGTACAACATCTTCACTGACTCTATATGTTAATGTTCAGTAATATGTATCAAATGTCATTTTTTTCATATTTTGAAATTTTTATGAATATAATTATTCATTATTTTTGAATTTTAAGGTTTGTTGATCATAGTTCATTTTTACCGTGTCAATGGCCAATACATTATTTACTTAAATGGATTAATTCTTCTTGTCAATGGATATATAAATTTCATCATTCATTACAACAATCAAATACTTCTATGATAATATCAAATGATGAAGTACAATGTGAAACAATATCATGTTTATCAACATTAATATTTGATCATTTAGCTCAAGCATCAACTCGAATACAAATTGTTTGTTATTTTTTTGTCTTTTTATTATTAGATTAATTATTGTATTTTGTTTTTTTTTTGTTCAGGTTGGATGTTTAGAAGGTATTTATGCTCTTTTAAATGTTCTTAAACCAACAACAATTCGATCATTTTTTCATAATCAATATGATGAACTACGTTTACTTATACATTTTTTTAAACATCCATTTATATTACATGATCTTAATAATTTACAATTATTACTTGATATTATGAATTTAATCTTTTCAAGTAAAGAGACAAAAAAAAATAAAAAAAGATGTTTATTATGTTTTTCTTATTTAAAGATTTATCAAATGATATGAATGATATTCAATCAGCAGAAAAAGTTTTTCATTTTTTAATCAAGTAAAAATATTTGTTTATTTTTTTTGAAAAGATTATCTATGAAAATGTTTTTTTTTTATTTATAGAATTTTATCTATATTTGCTTGTGTTGTTGAAGATACAAGTCCACCAATTCCACAAACATCAAAAATAAATTTTCCACCTATTCCTGCGTCACCTCAGCAAATAAAAAAACGTTTTGAAAGTAGCATGACTGATTCAAGTAATTCAAAAATTGAACTAATAACCATTGCAAAAGTAATGTCAAACAGTGTTAGATTATATTGCTGACTTCTCAACCAATCAAATTTTTTTTTCTGTTAGAAAGAACAATGTCTGAACTACAAACTTTGTAGTAGATCTATTTTTCCAGAACGAATCTGAGAAGGAGGAAAAGCTCAAAAACTAAACATCTCTAAAAAGTTCTTGCAACACTTTCGCAACTTGAGAAGCCTCTATTTTTCAATTGTTTTGAGCTACATTGGATCAATTTTGAACACCAAAATATAGCGGATCAAAAACTCTATCAATACCAACTTTGAAGGATTTCTTTGGATCTACTCTTGACTCTGTAATCAACAAAGTTTGAAATATGAAATCTTTGGAAAATTAAGTTATTTGCAAGAACCATCGGTTTACAAAAACGTCAGCCACCATCTCTAGACATCATTAGAAAGAGTACTCTTTGTGCTACAAAAAGTCATCATTGAACGTGCTTTTTAGTTTTCTCGTCTAATACAAAAAACTAATAATAAATAGAAAAATAGTCTAACACTGCTTGACATTTTTCCAAAAAACTTTTGCAACGCTTAATATTTTATTTACAAACGATACTAAAAATAAAGTTTTTTGTCAATTTAAATTGAATATTTCAATATACTTTGATAGACTTCTACTTCTTTCCATTCTCCAATCATTGTAAAAAAAAATATTCACAGTCTTCATATTTTTAGGCAGAAGATAATTTTCTATTCTTTATGTTCGTAGAAGAAAAAAATTCGATAGTTTTAGATCTGCATTATAGAAGAATATTTGACTTTCATATAGAATTTTCAGAACATCTGAATGAATTCATTTATTTTTTTTCTTTATAAAGAGAATGAAAAAGATTCAAATAATATTGATAATACAAATTTAATGACATCAAGTAAAGATTCATCAATGACATCAAGTATAACAAGTATGGATAAAGATAAAAAAGTTAATCGTACACAATTAGGTGCTTTTGGAAATAATCCATCAATGATGAAATTATTCGAATTAATACGTACATCATATCAAATACATAAAAGTGTATTAAATTCATCTGAAAATGATCGTTTTGAACAATTACTTTCAATAACATTAATGTGTATGAAATCAGTATTAAGTCTTATTTCTACACAAGATTTATCAAAACATTTAGAAGAAACACTTAATTATCTTAAATCAACATTTAATGTTGATAAAATAAAAACTATTCAATGTACACAAGAGGTAATCTATTTGTTTTATATATGAAATATTTATTTCATAATCTTTTTGATTTATAGTAAATTTTTAAAATGTTGATTGAGCTAAAATCTTTAGAATGTGTTAGGTTTTTTTTGATTTGATTTCATTTTGAAATTCGAATATCAAATCAGTTGATCTACATGAGCGATATGTAAGACATGATATTACCATAGTATAGAAAGATTTTGAGATTAAAAAGTTGTTTGTCTTATATAAATAATCTGAATATATGTCTTTTAATTTAGTTTTTATTAAACCTTCATCAATTAGCAATTGTGGCACCATCATCTGTTGAAACAAAATCTTCAAATGTTTCTTCACAAATACCATTAAATAATTCTTTAACTAATATTCATACAATAACTATTCGACAACCGATGATTTATTTATTTGGTTCACGTCATGCATCAAGTATAAATAGTGATCAATCAATAGAAAATAGTGTCATACGAGAGTAAAAACAAAAAAAGAGAAATAAATTCGATTTATATACATTTTTTTTTCTTCTCTATTATAGTTTTTATTTAACTAAAAAACAACAAAAAACAATTGAATATTTAAAACATCCACCAAATCGAAATGAACGTACAAAAATAGGCAATTATATTCGTTTATTTGAACCTATTGTTATACTTAGTCTTAAAAAATATGTTAATTCAAATGAAAGTGATTTTCAAGCTTCTGTACTCGATTTACTTGTTCAATTACTATTAATACGTGTTAATTATAGTTTATTAGATGCTGATGAAGTTCGTTCTATTTCTAATCTTGTGTTTTTTCATTTTTTGTCATTTCATTTATTTTGTAAATAGCATTTTCTTACTCATATAATTAATCAACTTGAAATGATTGAAGAAACTATAGCAGGTTATGATGTATCATCACATTTTATTTATCGTATTGCTGAATTTCTTGTTATGTTATCACATGATACACTTCATTCAAAACAAGTTATTAAAGTACAAGATTTAATAAAACATTGTGATTCATTATTAGCAAGTGGACATGAACCTGAAACACATGGTAGGAAGCAAAGAAAAAAAAAACATTTTTGAGACGAAGAAATTATCATTAAAATTTTTTATTTAGCTTTATCAGCATTAGAACCAGTTGTATATGATTTATTTCTTGTTCGACTTAAAACAGATAATAAAGAATTAGAAGCACAACGAATGGTTATTGTTCAAACATTACTTAAACTTGTTCGATATAATAAAGTAATATGAAATATTATAAGAAATAGTTGTTATATGAAAAATTAAAATTTCTAAAAATGTTTTATTAAAGAATAATGAAAAAAAAAAAAGATATCCCTCTATAAGATTTTAACTATCATACGAACTTGAAGTCTGAAAATTTGTATAATAGCCAACAGAGATGGACAAAGTCGCACCGCGCCTCCCCGCGCCGTTGCTCACGCCTACGCTACACTAGTCTGAGCTTCGATGAGCGCATGCTTAGAGCATCCCAGTATTCGGTGGAGTTTGAGAAACTGATTGGTAGAGCAAAGAGAAAGAGAGATGTGCGTAGCGCCTAGGCGCGAGCAGTGGCGCGGGGCGATTTTGTCCATCTCTGATAGGCAACACTATTTATTTTTTCTGAAAAGAAAAGATTTTATGGATCATTCGATAAGGTATAAAAAGTTTAAAGCAAAAACTAGACGTCTTAATCATTATAAAGTTTATTATTATAAATTAAAAGTATCTATTCATATTATCTGTATGTACTGAAAATAAATAATTAGAATTTATATTGTTATAGGCTTTACAATTGTTAACAGTTATTGTTGATAGTGTTCGAAATGAAGGTGATAAATGGAAACGTCTTTCACGACAAATTGTCGATGTACTTCTTGTTCATTTACAATCACATGTTGCTATTGGTTCATCTAAGGTTATTTTTATAATCTCCAATTTTATGTGACGTTTTTTTTTCTTTTTCAAATAGAATCAAACACTTTTGGATCTTTATTCTACACAATTAACATTATTTGATGTCGTATCATCAGTTGCATTACGACCAATTGATCCATTTGTTGTTGCTTTTCGAGCATTAGCAAATAGAAATGTTCGATTTTTCTTTTGTTTATGAAAAAAAAAATATTCTTGTAGTTTAAAATTTGTTTTAGGATATCAATCATCATACTATAAATCGATGGTTAATGAATATAAATATAATTCTTCGATGTCTTGTACAAAATTCAACTGAAGATGCTATATTAACACGATGGAATGATGCTTTATCATCAGTTAATGGAACACGAAATGAAACTTTTAGTGCGTAAGTATTCAAAATGATTTTTAATTATTAATTAAAAAAAACTATTATTCTCATGATCGTTTTATTTTAATTTTCAGAGCTCTTCTTCGTATTTTACATGATGTAGTATTACGACTTTTAACTAATACTCGACAATTACGTGGTCAAATTGATATGACATTAGTTTTTCTTACATCCGATTATCTTTATTTACTTATGCATATTATGGAAAATGGTAATGAATCAAAATATTTAGTGTAGTTGTAGATTCTAATGAGCTGCGAGTAGTATGTAAAGACTTTCGAACATGTACCTTATTGATGTCAGCTATATAGCATCTTCTAGTTCAAACCATTATCTTGACAAAAAAAAATATTTTTCCCTAATATTCTTCGACCAGTCTCATTGGATTTATCCTCTATGATAGTGTGTCATATCACCCATTAACTTGAAGATAAAATTTTTCTTCAATACATCAATTACTAATTAGCTAATGAAAAAAAAGAAAAGATTCAATTCTAAAATTTCTATGATTTTATTTTAGCTAAACAATTTCGAACAATTATATATGATTTTCGTCAATTATTAATTCATGATGAAACTGATGAAACTGTACATCGTCTTGATACATTTTCATATTTAACTATATTAAGTGAATATTTTAAATTATTATCATCATTTTATATACCATTATTATTACAATGGACACATATTCTTAATATGCTTGATTATATACAAGAAGCATGGTGGTCATCAATGTTATCAATATTAATACCATCATCATTAATAACACATTTATCTATAAGTGGTCAATTACAATCATATTGTGATTTAATATGTCGTCATGAATTATATGTTGAACATTTAACATCAATAATAACACATTATCAATTATTATTTTTTTTATTTGAACAAAGTGATACATGTACATATGTACATAATTTATTTGGTCTTATACATCGTACATCAGTTGCAAGTCATTTATTTGTTGAATCAATATATACTAATTGGGATAATTTATTAAAACGAAATAAATTATTATTATCATTAAAAATTCTTCGTACACTTGAAGGAATACATTTAGATGAAAGTGGTCTTTTATTAGTTTTATTAATTGAACAATTTCTTCAATTACCATATATATCTATATTACGTTTAGCTGAATTAATTGTTTGTCGTCGTATTGAAATGATGTTAACACTTGATGAACAAACATTAAATAAACAATTATTACCTAAATATTTACCATTAATATTACAAATATTATCAACAACAAAAATAAATAATGATAATAAATCAAATGAACATCTTTGTGCACTTATACAACGTTTAATTAGTAAAATGAATTATATAACAACAATATCAATGGATATAATTAAACAAGATTTTAATAATCTTAATTGTCATGATGAAGATTTTATACTTAATTGGATAAAAAAAGTGAATTGTCCTATGGATATAACACCAAAAATTTATGCACAAATGCTTAAAAATGTAACTTATAAAAAATTATTACCATTTATGATGTCACCGGTATGTTTTAGATTTAATTTATTGAGATAAATATATATATCAGCAGTGTCACATATCCAAGATTTTGGAGATGCTACCACGTCTCCCGCGGGTGATGCCGCATCTCGCGCGAGAGATGCGGGTGTGGATGTGGGGGATGCGCATCTCTAAAGGAGATCTTACATCTCCAGTGGTGAATGACCACATCTCTCGAGTGCGGGTGTCGCGTCTCCCGCTGGAGACGCGGCATCTCCCACGGGATATGTGGTGGCATCTCCAAAATCTTGGATATGTGACACTACTCACTTTTTCGGTCGAAAGAAGTCTATAAAACTTCAAAAAAATAAGAAACAATATAAATCTGTTTTTTTGTTTTTTTTTCTGCATAGGATTTTGTATGGTTATCAATGCCTCATTGTCTTGTCCTTGGTATAAATATTCCATCATTATGGCGTGCATCAACAGGTGCATTAATTAAAAAAATTAATGATCTATGTTTTTCTTTACCAACACAACGATTAATATCAAATGAAATAAATTTAAATGATGATGAAACAACACCTGATACAATTTATATTAAAAGTCTTTTATCATGTTCAAATAATCAACCATATTTAATTGCATTAATAGATTCTATATCAATTTATTTTGATACAATACAAAATCATATTGAATTAACATGTCAATTTTCAACAGGTGATACACGTGATTTATTACGTTTTATAATATTTATATCTGAATTTATTTATATTAATCTATTTCAAAAAAAATCATTTCTTAGTTGGAATTTAATTGAAAATTTTTTTCGTTGTTTAACTAAAACAATACATAATCCAACATCAATTATATATCAATTACTTAGTGGAACAGATCAAATAATATCATGTTGTACATTATCAAAAACTATATTATCAATATTTGAATATCTTTATCAACGACATGGTTTAATTGTAACAAATAAACAAACAAATCAATTATTACAATCATATTTAAATTTAATTGAACCAGATAATCGACCATTTACACAATTATTACTTATATCATTTAATGATCTTGATCGTCTTTATTATTTAACAAAAAAAATTAAATATATACCATATTTTTATCGATATGATTTACGTCGTATAGCTATATTATTATTTCGTTTACCAATATTTAATTCATTTATACGTATACCAAGACAATTTTGGGAACAACATTATCAAGATATAAATAAATTACAATTTGGTTTAAATGATTATTGTTTATCATCATTTTCTGTTGATTTATTACAACATTCAGATATAATGGCTGATTATATTGAACGTATATCATTTGTTGGTTGGTTATCACGAACACAATTTCAAGAAATATGGGTTTCATTTTTAGCTTCAATTAATCCACCAAATTCATCTAATAATGAAAATGAACAAACAACAAATAATTTAACTAAAGAAGAAATTTTAGAAACAAATGCAACACAATGGTAAAAAAATTCCAAACAAAAAAACTACATTTTATCTGTTCTTTTTTGTTTTTCTCTGCATAGTGTATGGATTCGTGGTGTAACAACATTTTTATTAAATGCACTTCGATTAAATTGTACAGGAAATCCAGCTGATATGACATTTGAACATCGATGTCGAAATAAATCTATTCCATTTTTATTAACGGATATTGGTGGTCAATATATGCAAACACGTTCAACATTAGATACAAGTTCAAATAATTTATTTAAAAATATTGAACGATTAGGTACACAAGATTTATTATCCTATGGACAACTTTCATATGATACTATATTAACATCAATTCAAAGTAATAATACATTACCATTACCAGTTAATGTAAGTTCATATATGTTTTAATAATTGAGACATAGAACTTGTATTTTTTGTCAATATTGAAGATTAAAAATAAATGTAAATAAAAACAAAAAAAAAGTTATTGAAACAAATTTTAAACTTTATTATACAGAAGTCTAGGTAAAAGGAAAGACACAAAATTATTATATTTTATTGAACAAAAAAAATCTATTGTTTCTCTAACTTTGATTTATTTGAAATATAATATATGCAAACTAACCTATTTTCCTATAGATAAAAGATTATATCAATAATTTCAATTCTAAAACATGAGGAACATTTTCTATTAATTAGAAAATTAGAGAGCGAATGTTTCCTTCGTTGGCAACTATCTTTAATTTAAAAAAAAATATATATATATATTATTTTAGAGTTTATTCGATCGTTTATTTTCTCGTCATGGTCTTGATTTAACATCATCATTACAAATTCTAATTGAATTATATGTTCGTTGGTTAACAACAAATTCAAATAATTTATGTCTTCAATTAAAATATGAATTAATACGTTCATTTATATATCTTTCTGATTTATTTACATCATCACAACAATTATCAAATTTATATGATTTATGTGATGAATATTTTCGTACATGGTTTGATGAAGATGATTTAATGATATCATTAATAAGTTATGGTTTATGTAAATCAGGTATATTACTTGGACAAACAACAAAAGAATATAATGAATTATATATACGTTTAATTGAACGTAATTTTAAATTAATAAGTAAAACTCATGCATATGCATCATGTTTATTTTTACTTGAAAGTCATGAAGATGATTTAAATAAATTATTAATACCAATTATAATACAAGAAATAAATAATGATATACAAAATAATACATTAAAATATAATTTAGATATACGTTTAAATGGTTTTATATTATCAAATTTATTTTATTTAATTGAAAATAATTATTTAAATTCATATGATATTTTATTATCATTAATTAAAGATGATATATTAGATATAAATGATAATTTAACACAAAAAATTATATCAATTGGTTTAGAAAGACTTTTAATACTTGGTCAATATCCTAAAAATGATATATGGCGTTTATATAAACGTTCAATAACAATAATACGACAATCATCATGGTTAAATATTGATCATCTTATTTTAATACTTGCACGTATTTATACATTATTACAACGACCAAATGAAAATACAAATTCATTAAATACTGAACATATTAATGAAGAACAAGAAATGATTGATAGTTCATCAATAATATCATCATCCGATAATATTCTTATTGAATTTGTTGGAGAATTATATGAACGTACTAAACAATCATCAACATTACCATATGAAGCTTTACTTCTATTACGACCATTACCATTATTACTTGCACATATTGGTTTATCGGATCGTTTAATGAATAAAATGGTTTTAGAATTTGCTGCATCAACACAACAATTATATCCTCAAATACTTGCTTATACAGTTTTTGCTGTTTTTCGTGCTTTAATTAATGCACATTATTCAGCTAAAGTTAATGAATGGACTTTATTATCAATGACAAGTATTGCACAAAGAAAACCAATACGTATGGCTATATGGGGATTAACTTGTCTTATGTTAAGTGCATGTCCATCACATACAATTGCTGATGCCTTGTAAGTATTTACATAAATCATTATGTTATTAATGAATATTTAAATTTATTATATGATCTTTGCTGGTTTTTTGTTCTTATTTCTTTACATTAAATTTTAAAGACGAAAGAAATTTTGAATTGAAATTAGTCGTATTTGAGCTGTTTTTTTTTTACGTATGGTGAAATATTCTTTCTAGTTTTCTTTTTAAAAAATGATCCATACTTACACGTACAATTCAACTTTATCTGGAAAAGATAAATAGTAAGATATTAATGAAAAGAAAATATTATACTTACTGATGCATGATGGCCATGTCCATCACTTTGGGTACATCAAAACCTCCTTGAATCTCATCATAAAATCAATAAATTTCACCCAAGTTGATTTTCTTTCTCAGAGAACTCAAAAGAGAATATCTCAAGAAATACATGTACGCGAAACTTTCTATTATCATATGAAATGTCAAAATATATTCTCATCGATAATACGGTATATCTTTTGCTTGCTTTAGGTTTCCATTGACGTTATCACGTTTTAGTGCTCGTTTTGAAGAATTAGACAATCGTTTATTTCTTCTTGCTGGTCGAGAATATTATCTACAGGTATTATAAAATAGAAAAAATAAATAAATAAATCTATTTTATCTATTTTAGTTAACAAATATTGAACAACGACGTCAATTTGAACAAGCATTCACAAATGAATCAAATACAGAAAAATTATATGCTGATTTACTTGCACATATTCAAGATACGATCTTATCATCGTCTTGATCCTTCCTACTATTTATCCGTCCTTATCCGGATCCGGTGATTTCTAGATTTATAAAATAATCAATATTTATCAGACGTCAAATCATTTTTTTTTCTCGTTCTGGTCTGTTGATAGAACTTTTCCTGCTAAATGTCTTTGCATGTGTGTGTGTGTGTACCTTTTTTTTCGATTAGTAGTTGAACAGTGATTGCACATGATGTATGCTTACACATTATTTCCTTTTCTCCTTTATTTGTTGTTGCTGTTGTTATTATTATTAATGTTTATTATCTGTTATGTAACGCAAGCAAATCATTCCGTCGATTAAAAGAAAGTCTTAATTTAAATTTATTAAATTTTGTCTTGACAATCAAGAAAAAATGAAATTTAATTAGCCGAGAAATGTTATTTGTTTAAAATAAACAATCTATAAGACAATTCTATAGTACATTGTGTATATAAAATACAATACAAACATCTCTACAACACTATTCATATGACAATTGTTGAAGATAATGTTTCAACAAAGAGATGAATTTATTAATAAGTTTTTATAACGTATTATTATTCAAATAGAAACAGCTTTAAAAATATTTCAAAATCTTTTCTAGTTTCATAGTAAGTGTAAGTCAACTAAATAGTACTTTGTAGACGTCTGTCGAACAACTTAGTCATTCAGTTATGGCGGCTAATTGTTTTTCTAGACTTGTATGATCTTTCAATCTATCAAAAATTAAAGTTGATCTGATGCTTCATTCTTAAGGAATAAATGGGAATAATTATGAGTTATATCGAATCTAGAAAGATTTGTATTGTTTATGAAATTTGTTTTCATCAAACCAAGATTTCTATGATCATTAAATTCATTTATATTACAAGCGAAATAAATGTAATCAAAATCATATTTTGTTGGACCAGGTGTATAACGATATGATCCAAAATAAATCTTCGGTCTATCAGCTATTGAATATTAACGAATGTTAATTAACCCTTTGGCTATAAGAGTATCATATATGATACCTAATTGTTGGCGATGATGACAGTTCAACAAACTGCGGAAACTGTCGATGGTCTTTCTCTTTGTAGAATTGTATCTAGAAAATTAAACTCGTAGCCAAATTGTTTCATGCGAAAGTGTCATCCATGTCGTAAGGTTTTCAATGAGTTTTGACAGAGATTATTAAACAATATTATTAGCCTATTTATGCCCGAATCATAGAACTGTGTTTTAATAATAATTTGATGTGAATAGTTTGTTGTTGACTATGAGCTAGAAAATAAAATGACAGTGGGATCATTTCAATTCAAAGAAGATACATCTTAAGATTTTATTCCATTTCGTTGTTTAATTATACTCAACAGTGGAAGAATGCTAAGGAAACAGAGAATTTAATGCCATAATTCTTGTTTCATACAAAGAAAGTCTTCCAATTGATGAATCGCTTTTGAGTTCGAGCTATTTAAAAGTCCTTGACTTTATTGTTGCAAAAGTATTGCATTCTTTCGGTATCTTTTAAGTCAGTGTCGTAGGTTTACTTAGGAAAACTACAAGAAATGCTTTTTAAATTTCTCTTTGAACATTTCATAGATAGATGTCTTAATGGGAATAGCTGATTGCAAAAGTTTCAGATTTTTTCGTTGTTAGTTATCTTGAGATGATACGTCGTCTACGGTCGAAAAAATCTGAAATTTTCACAACAATATATTCTGGTTAAGTCCCATCTCAACGCCAAGTACCACGTCGAAGATCGAATACCAATTGCTAAAGTGCTTCTTATGCAAACAACATCTTCGGCTTAAAAAGTGTATTCATTCGTTTAAATTTATTTTGAAGATCTTTTAAGATAGTCAATATTGGAAGAAAATGAGCGAGTTTAACATATTTATTTATATATTGTTAAGCCATTGTTTTTTTGTTTCATATTAATAAATGAATTTTGATACCGGTGAAGAAGAAAGTATTATAGGGCACAAAAAGAACCAACAGTACTATGAATTGATACTGCTCGAACAGCAAATGCATAATGACAACATATTGAAAATCGTTTTGAGTAATTCCAATTGCTGAACTAATTGATTTAACTGTCTCAACCTAAAAACAAGAAACAACAAATTCATTATAATTTTTCATAATAATTATTATCCATACGTTTTTCTAATCAGATGACGTTGTTGTTACACTTGGTTGATATCTACACTGTAAACTAGAAAATGAGTTATAGAGTTTAATCGAGGATATT